CACACACACACACACACACACACACACACACACACACACAGAATCATGTCCTAACCCCATTAGATACAGTTCAAACAACACTGATAACTTTGCAAGCTAATCACAATGTTAATGCTTTCGTATTTTTTTTAAATCTCGTTCTGTTCTTGCTGTTCTTCTTCGTTAGTATTGAGTGCAGTCTTGGCAGACAGTATAGGCGATACTACACCATAGCGTCCGGTAGTGTATTGCAGTTACAAAAACATATATGGGCGAATCGTTGCAGCCCTACATACCATGTATTAATTTATCCTCTCCCAATTACATCAGTCCTCTATCTGCCTGTCCTACCCCCAAAGTCTAACCTTCTGTCACCCTTGTATGCCGTTTTTTTCTTCTGTTGTTAAGTAGGAGGGGCTAAAATGTCTCTCTCAATGTCGAAGTTTGGCGACTCCAGTTTAGACGAATCAATGCTGTACAAAGTGGCAATATATATATTATTTAAATAATCAGGCCTGAGTCAAAAGCTCAAGCTTCAGACTACTTTAAACACTCTGCTATCTACTCTTAGAGGTTTATGATGCCAGAGCTAAGCCTAAAAGAAGAAATCTTTAACCGAACGGAACTAAAATGGCTAATTACAGACTGTGGATGAACACAGATGTTGCAAAAAGTCCCAGTATAAGAATCAAACAAAGCTACTTTAGTAGGGCTCAAGAATAAAAATGTAGAGGTAAAAAAACAAGCAAAACAAATTATTATCATCACCAGCCTTGTGGGTTACCTGATCAACCCCAGGGCCTTTTCTCACCTGTGACGTAGAAATTCTCGATTGGTCGTGGCGGGCTGTGAGGTCAGAGGATGATACGTTGGCAGGAGCACCACGGTGGAGCCGCATGCTCACCTTCCTCTCTCGCTCTGCACGAGAAATTGCACGTGGTGACGTGTTACCTAAAACACAATAAAAAAAAACACGCCTAGATTAGATAAAAATATTCAAGAAAAAAGAAAAATACTCTGGTGTCCGTCTTATTCTGTTTCCTCTTTTTTTCTTGTAATGCAGCAGTTGGCTGAAAACTCACCAGACTGCTGGACCCGAGGGTTAGAAATGGCTTGCTCAGGGCCGTTCCTGACTCTGTTGGGAGCTCCAGGATTTGGACCTGGAGGGAGGCCTCGCGATGCAGACCCCCTAGGGACTCCTCCGATCCGCTCATCTCTCTCATCCGCAGTCCTCCTCTCCCTATCCCCATCCTCAGCTGTCCGACTGGCACCCTTTTAGATGAGATAAGCCACATTCAAGCCTAACTACTGACAGGTAGCCGTATTATAATGTGGTGAAAATACAAATCAAAGTTCAAGTTAGAAACTGTAGATATAAACTTACAAATTTGAGCATGTTCCAGTCAAAGACATAATCGTAAGAGAAGCCCTGTCGGTGGAACAGATTCCTGAAGAGCTGTCGAAGGTAGGAGTAGTCTGGTTTGTCATCAAAACGGAGTGAGCGGCAAAAGTTCAGGTATGTGGAGAACTCAGCTGTAAGAGGGTAAATAAAAATAATGAGAGTAGAACAGAAAGTTCACTGTAGCGGTAAACTTTGTGTGATTAGATAATTGTTAGCATTCAATTTCATACTGAGAAAATACAATACAACATCTTAAAATAATTTCAGAGGTATGTGTAGTACGCAGAGGCGCCCTGTGAGCCTCACTTACATGGGTATCCTTTGCAAAGAACTTCAATGGGTGTGGACATTTTCTTCTCGCTGATCCGTTCATATTTCTGTCTCTTTGTGGCAGCCTTGAGGCCCTGCCACGGGAGTGACCCCAGGTTGAAGTACATGAGGACGTAGCCAAGAGACTCCAGGTCATCACGTCTGGACTGCTCTGTAGACAGAACGCATGAGAGAGAGGAAGAAAGATCATTAGTCATCATAACAATCATTACAAAAAGGCCTGTAAATTTGTTTAAAGAGCATCAGAATGAAATTACAAAGCAACGGGAACCCTTCCCCCCTATCCCCACAGTCCCAGATAACTCTTCCTTCTTTACAGCCTGTATATATATATCAGATACAGTGATGATAAAACGATGCCGCAGCAAAGAGGCACATCCAAAATTAAATGGCTGAATAAGAGGGACTTTTCACTAAACAGACAACAGAGCTAGAGTCAGTAAATTTCTACACAGAAGAAATATTAAGCACAAGGAAGAACTTCAAACAACATAAATTTTTTTTGGGTGCTTTAACTCAATCATGTTACGATTTGGTGAAAGGGAAAAGATCATAGTAATTTGTAAGATTCCAAGTATTCCACAAATCCAGGTATGTGCTAGAGGGTTTAAAAAGAGATGAGTGCATTGAGTGGCTCTAAAGAATCACATTTAAAGTAATGTTTAGATGAAATCTCTACATCTGCTGTGGAGCTGATGAGATTTCTTTGAGTCACAAGTCTAAGGCAACTGAGACCACATCTTCATTAACACAGTCACACCAGTTCAATGAAATGTAAACCTTATGACAGAGAGAGTGCACTTGCTGTCAGCTCCACTGTGGAGCCTGCCCACCTGCCTGCTGTGAGCTCTGTGGTCAGATGGAGGCGCCACACACACACACACACACACACACACACACACACACACACACACACACACACACACA